TTCCGCGTTGTCGCTTGGAAAAGGAGCTTAACCCTAAGATATGAGTAGGCTGACCGTATGATGTGGTGCGTTTGAGAATCACCATGCTCCACGCCCGAGCTACTAGTCTTATACTAGATTCATCGATCGGGTTAATTTCAACCCGACCAGACTAGTCCATGCAGTGTGCGGTAACCAACGATGTGGCGCGTATACACCCCGACAAACGAGATGGCATCTTTTTTTTTTTTGAGATCGCACAGCAACCCTTCTGACAAAATACATGGTTACGAGCGTACTCGTCTCTAATCCAGAGAGATGATATGCCCTTCACGAGTCCGAATTAGCTTGTGGCAACAGTGACTGTTTCTACAGCGAAAGCGTGCGTATCGGTGAGAGTCGCACGTGAAAGGATGCTCGATTTATGTCGTGCTCAAAATACGGAAAAAGCGCATTCAGAGATTGTGCCATGCGGATGATCGATTGCCGGTGATTGCTGAAGCTTAGAAGGCTGCGTCGCTTGTATGATCCGCTGGAAGGTGGTCTACTTGGTGGCCACGAGTACATATCTTCCTTTGACCGGAAATTTGCAGTACGGCTGATGTTCTAAGGCGTCCCGTACATGTTTGAACTTCGTTGTATTTATCCGTTCTGATACCTGGACGAGACCGGACGGCTGAAGAATGACGAAGTGAATCAATCAATCTGCTTCACCTCGCAGCAGCGATTGATAGGTATCTCGCCGAAACTGCGCGAAGACCCGAAGAGCAACGACCCCTCTCGCGGCCTCCATACTGGCCTGAACGTATTCCCGGCCGTCGTGACGTCTCGATCGCGAGAAACCAGTCTCATGATGAGCTAGTCATCAGATATCGACGATGGTAATGCTCGAGCAGGTGGGGTGGACCTAGGTTACACTGCAGTTTGGTGTCGGAAAATCCAAACCCGACGTTGACGAGGCGATCGAGGTCTCGTTAGACCGTCTGCACCTACGCCTCCTCCAGGTTGCCGGCTAAAGTCGTAGTGATGAAACGGAGCCTCAACTGGTGCCGAGCCTAATGTTGGTATATTGCAGTACTGCTCTTTGATAACATGTTGAGCTGCGTGTAGGAAACATGATGCCGATGCTGTCCACGGAGGTTGTCGATAGCTGTAGTGGATGCACGGTTTTCTGGTTGATGCCTGGGTAATAACACCACTTGTGCAAATTTCCTGCTCTTTCAAAGAGATTGCGGGTACAGGTCTTTGCAGCGAGATACGCCGGTGGCCCATTACTCCACTACTCTCGAGCGCGGGATGCCGCTCATGGTAAAGCCGATAGGGCTGAAGTTTGCGATGCGACGCCTCAACTATACTGCGGGTGCAGCCTCGTGCAGTTCCAGAGCCAGCCTCGCACAGGCGGTGCGCCTATAGGGAGTACCGATATACGCCTATCCGAGTACCAAGCTCGTATCTGTGGTGTTGTTGCTGGGCATTTCAAGCCTCGAGGCGTAGATATGGTATTCGGTTGTCGCCTCAGGCCTTGGAGGTCACTACGACAGACGCTACCCCCCATTCTCCACCAATCCCCACAGATTCGCGTCAGCAATAGACGAAGGCGATGGAGGTGATATACTTGGCGCACGAATACCTTGACTGATGGCAAATCAAGTGATTGGTGCGAAATTGGCGGCTTTTGCGACGGTATGGCAAGTCTACGGATAAATTCGAGCTCCAGCTATCGGCGAGCGCACCACGGTGCCCGCGCTGGTCCGTTCACTATCCTACTGCCCCGAGCAAGCAACGCCTAGTGGCCTTCCTAACGGCATATTCACCGTCCAGCCATAGGACGGCTTTAGAGCCAACAGACGCGCGGGTTTTACGGAAGCTTGGTGCTTCCATCTGCTCTTGACATGGTACTATCTCACTATCTTCAAACCTCACACATACCGCGATTAAATCCAGACCTGGTCCTGCAGCCCACCACCCCACGGATGAATCTACAGCGCTCAGTCTGAGACGTCTGTATTTCTCCAGACACAGCCCCCACCACCGCCTCATACTTTTCGACGTTTCGGAAATGGTAGCGACGGTTGTCGGAGTCCGCCAGTTGTATACCGCCCGTCGCATTCTCGCCGAGATCCAGCACCGCATCAACGGCTTCAACACGTACGGTTAACACTACTAAGCAGAACAGCGCACAACTCTACTCACCCATGGCCACCATGGTGCAAACCGGGAGCGTGACCACCTCCCGTCTCAAGGAAGGCGCGGTCATAGACGTGCAGGAGATCCCGAACGGCGCCCGGCCGGCGTTGCTGATCCTGCATAATGAAGGCGAGGAGGACATTGTAGGCATCTTTGCGGATGTCCTGGGCCAGAAATGGGAGTCGGCGACATCGGTGGACGAAGCGCTGGCAGGGCCGCGGGAGACGGTTTACGGCCTTAGCAGCGGGCTAGCCAAACCGCAGTTGGACGCTTGGGATCGCTCGAGGCTGTTGATCAACACACATCGAGTGGATGGCGGTCATGAACTGGACGAGAGCATCACCGACCGATGCGACTACGAATACCTCTACACGCGAGCGCCCTTTTTCCGTCGCGACGTGTCGCGATACCTCTCTTTTGTCCTGGGCCAGATCGGGCCTCACCGCGACCTCACCAAGAAGGCGCGCACGACGCTGATATCGACGACGTTCCCCGATGTGCACGCTGCACTTCCCAATCTTGACATTCTGTCGGTCGGCGCAGATGCCATCGAGATCCGAGTGGACCTGCTGGAGGAGCCTTTGCCAGATGGGACGGTCAGCAAGATACCTAGCTTGAAGTATGTCGGCGAGCAAGTTATGGTGCTGCGTCAACGCACGGAGCTACCAATCATCTTCACTACGAGGTGCACCAAGGAAAATGGCCGGTTCCCCATGGACGACCCCTCTCTGTTCTACCGATACCTTGCGCGCGCGATACAATGGGGTTGCGAATACATTGATGTGGAATTGTGGCTGCCAGAGGAGATTAGGAGGAAGCTGGCCGAAAACAAGGCGTGCACCAAGATCATCTCGGCGTTCCACGACTTTTCGGGCAACTTCAAGTGGACCTCGCCTGAAACACAGCGCCTGTTCGAGATGGGAGCGGTGTATGGGGACATTGTCAAGATGTACGCACTCGTCAATTCGATGCAGGAGAACTACGAGCTGGAATACTTTCGGTCGACTATCCAAGCCAAGTATCCTCATCCTCCCTTCTCTGGTCTCAATATGGGACCCATGGGCCAGCTATCAAGGACCCTGAACAAGATATTCACTCCGATTACTCATCCATTGTTACCCATGATTGCAGCGCCTGGCCAACTAAGCGCAGCCGAAATTAACGCAGCGCTCCACACAATGGGCCAGATGCCTAAGCAGGACATCTACGGCATCGGCAGTTTTCGATCAACGTCGCAAGCCATGTTCTTTGAGAAGTGTTTCAACGAGCTTAGTCTGCCGCATTCATTCGGCTTTGCAGAAAGAGCTCCGAAGGCTTCGATTGAGCACATCCTCCGACGCAACAACTTTGGCGGCGCCTACATCAACCCGCCGTTGGCAGCCTCGGCACCCTACCTGCCCTCCCTTTCGAATGCTGCTCGGGCCATCGGACAAGTTGATACAGTGTTAGTGCCTCCAGGGACCGGCAACGCCTCCTTCATAGGAGACAACACGCGGTGGAAGGGTATACGTGCGACACTGACTCGCGATTTTGTCCCGTCGGCATACAGCGGACAGGCAGCATTGCTGCTCGCCAGTAACGAGGCTGATGCGTCGGCGTCCATATTCGCACTGAAGAATCTAGGGATCGGGCCTATATATACCATAGGGTTCAAGTCCCACGGGCCCTTATCTACTGACGTGTCACCGGTTCGATCGATAGACGACGTGAAGCGCCTGCAGCAGCCATTCGTTATCATCTCGGCTCTGCCTGCTGAGAAGTCGCTACTGGTGGTGCCCCTGCTGAAGCACTACAGGGTTGGCGGAAGGAATGGAAGCCCCAACGGACATGGGTGCACAGGAACGAAGGCTGCAGGCAAGGTGTTCGTCGACTTGGCCAGTGGACCCCGAAAGGCCGACCCGTTGGCAATCGCGACGTCGGCGGGATGGACAGCATATGGCATTGCGGACGTCTCAGCGTGGACGACGGTTGAAACGATCCGGAAGCTCGTGGGGCAGAACGTGTGTTATGACTTTGTGCGTCTGGCGTCCGGAAGGGGACATTTTTAAATTCAGCAATTAGCAATGTACACTTGATGATTGATACGTCCTCACATGCGGCGTGACAGGAGCGAGGCAGCCGTGGCAGCCAGGGATGGCGGGTGGCTCTTGATGACGGGCCCTCGTTGACGGGGCCCTCGTGGAAGCTGTAACCGGGGACGGGGCAGCAGCTAGCACTAGGGCGACGCACGTGATTGGGCGACGGGCGATACCCCAGATTTTCTAGAACACATTGGTGCAGTCCGGCGCTACAGGCTGCAGCTACGCCGAGACGAGCTGGGTGCGTGCGACGGGCGCAATCTACGTGCCAAATTGCCAGTAGCTGCATGGCTGAGAACCGAGGCACGGGGCGCCGTCTGGGACGGCATGCGATGGGCGATTTCCTGACGTGCGGCTAGCCTCTTACCCCAGTGGCCTCATGATGGCCGTGTTTTTGACTGCTCGACTCGGCCCAACGGTTCCAAGCCTCGCTCGTCTGCATGGGCTGCTCTACCGTGCATGGCTAGATACCCCGAGATCGTCGTCACGCGTCCAAAGCTCCCCAGCGGTTCCATCACTACCTCTTCCTAGTCACTGCACACTCTGAGTCGCAGCCGAGTGGGCGCGCACTCCCGCCAGAGCAAGCCTCGCCGTCCGCGCACCCCCTGCCTGTCTCCACTGCCATAGGCCTTAATTTGAACCTACATCTCACGCCGTGCTGGGAGCGTGCTTTCTTCTTCCTACCGTCCAGTTCGCTATCATCAACATCACTTGCAGCCAGAGAATGCTTCTGGTCCACCGCCCTGTAGCGTCGCCATGTCCACCGAAGTTTCCCAGTCACTGGCCGCAATGGCAAGGCCGCAGATTGGCATCGACCGACTACCCGCCCGCCGCGTCTCCAACGAGCCCCGCGAGGCCATGAACTGCAAGAGCTGTCGAAAGCGAAAGGTAGTGCTTGTCTGCTTTTTTCGTCGTGCCCACGTGCTAACCGAAATTCAAGATCAAGTGCAATCGCACACGCCCGACCTGTGAAGCCTGTCAAGTGTTCAACTGCCCGTGTATATACGGTATGCTCCACCCTCAACACTACGCGAGTGCATCCAAACACGGACTGACAGCCATTTCCAGATGCTGTTCCCAAGAAGAGAGGCCCCAAGACCGACGTTCTCGAGGCCCTCTTGAAACGTGTCGACGGCCTGGAAAAGCGCTTGGTTTCCGAAGGCAAGAGCGATGACCCAACCGAGACCGACCCCACCTCCCAGGACAACACCACCTCAGCCGACGTCAAACGAAAAGATCTCGCATCCTCACAATCGCCGCATGCGTCCTCGCCCCGTCGCGCGAGTGGCACCAACCATGCAAACCAGTTGATGTCGCCCATCGAGCCAAGGTACCTACTAGCAGCCTGCCATTCTCGCCCCTGCACATTGCTAACAGCATCTAGTATACAGTCCCCGACCCTGGCTCCCGACCTACTTCTGGACACCTATTTCGCCAGGATCCATGGAAAGCCCTACTACATCCTGGACGAGTCGACCACGAGACAGCGACTACAGGCCAATCAGCTTCCCGGCCACTTAGCCTATGCTATTTACGCCGTGAGTGCCAGGTACGATTCGCCCATCCCTGAGCATTCTTGATCACAATTAATATATGTACCCCAGATATGCACCCCACTTCGGAGGATACAGCTCTGCAGTGCGCATCGGGCAAGAGTATGCCCGTCGTGCTCGGCTGGAACTCGAGATAGATGAGCCCTCTATCGAAACCTTGCAGACGCTCATGCTCCTCTCGCAAGCAAGCTTCCAGTTGGGCAAAGGCAAGAAGACCTTCATGCTGCTAAGTACGAAGTCACTACGATCCACACTTTGCGCAAGACTGACTCCATTCTCAAGATTCTGCCATCAGCATGGCCTTTGCGCTCGATCTACATCGCGAACTACCGACCGGCATCAAGGTCACGCCCGCCGAACGCGAAGGACGACGCCGGCTCTTCTGGTCATGTTACCTCATGGATCGCTTCGCTGCAACCGGCTCTAAGCGACCCTCGTTAATTGCGGATGAATCGATTGTGCTACGATTACCGAGCTGGCAGCTGCACTCTGGCGCAATGCTAATAGACGGAGACTACTTTCCAAACGGATGCAATTTGCAGTTCATGGGCGGCACTGGAAAAGGTGGACAAGGAAGCATGGGTATGCTCATTGGCATAGCTCGCATCCTGGGTATAACAAACCGCTACCTTGCAGCGGGTGGTGTTAAAGGCGATTCACATTTCCCTTGGCACTCATTATCCAACCTATCCAAAATTCGCCAAGAACTCGACATATGGGCATCGGAGACGCAGGATACTTTCACTTCCATCGAAGCCCTCTTTGGCCAGCCCGACAGCACTATACTTGTCCTCAGCAAGTTGATCTACCACCTCATACATTGCCTCATCTACCGGCCTTTCCTCCCTGTGGATCTGGCTGAGCTGTCTGGGACGTCGCAGCATCAACCCTGGCAAATAGAAGCGACCAACTTATGCTTCCTTCACGCCAACGCAATTGCCGAACTCGCCGAGATAGGAAGGGCCTCTTCCATAATAGATTGGCCAGCCTTTGTCGGCTATTGTATATGCACTGCTGGTACCATTCATGTACATGGGGCACATTACCCAGGAAGAGAAGGAGAGGTTTTCTCGGTCAGTGCAGAGTTTCTGTCTCGAGAGATGCAGCAGCTATCCGAGCTTCGTTTTGTTTGGGCTGGGGCCCAGCACCAGCGCGACACTCTGCAAACCATTTACGGATGTCACACAGAGCTAGTCCAGTCCTTGGCAAGCAACCCCATGCGCTACGCGCCAGTCTTTCAACTTGAGGACTTCTTCGACAGATATCCAGGCCAGGTATTCGATGGAGCGCACGTTACATTTATGGATATTGCGGTCGAATCCATTCAAGAAGGGTAGAGAGCCAGGCCCTTCCCTACATGTTCATAACGCTAATAATCTAGTAGCCTTGCCACTTTTAACATCGAACAACGGAACAACATGTATATGACCAGCGGAGTCATCGGGAACGCTCAAGGCTACCAAAAGCATTCAGCACCCTCACAACAACCGCAATATTCCAACGCCCACCCAAACAAGAGAAGGAGAGCTACGACTTCATCCTCGAAACCCCAAACACAGCCACAAGCTATCCCCCCGACACCTACATCAGCCACTCATCCTCCTACTGTCCATACTCACCGACCGTCGGATGCTGGTACCTCGGAGTCAAACTCAAACCCAAGCCCGGGAGACAGCAGAACACATCCTAATGACTCCGGTGTACGACCTTACACCCCACCGTTGCCAAACAACTCACTGAATCCACCGAATGCTAATGGTGGCGGACTTGCTCTTCCATTCTCGCCAAACTTCTCGTTTTCTCCATTGCCGCAGTTTGCGAGTCTGGCGCCATCACCGGTGTCGCGTGCAGCGAATCTCCACCAAAACCAGGATAACAACCATGCAATCCATTTCGACCCTATGCTGAGCATGCCGACGCCGTACGAACAGCACCCGACACCCGGCGCAGGGAGCACATCGGGCACATCGGTGCACACAGACCCTGACAGCAAGGACCCTTTCCTCAGCTTGCTGGAACAACTTGCCGAGAACGAAGTCAGCAGGGGCGGTCCAAGCGAGCTGGACTTTTTCTTGAGCGGACAGAGCACCTGAGCTTACTGCCGCTTGCGCCGAAATCAAGGCGGCGAAGTATGAACTCCCGCAATATCACAGCGGAACCGCGGAACGACCGTGCCACGATCATCACAAGGGTTTAAATTTGGTTGTGTCTTCATTTCACAGTACATTTTGTAGTAGCTTCGAGAGCTATCATTTACGGCTCAGCATCGACCGGCTTGGTCCGGTCCGGGGTCTTGCAACCAAAACCAGCGCGGCGCAAAACAGAAGGAGTCGGAATACAGGAAGGCTAGCTTCACAGCCTAGGATCTACGGAAAACGAATGTCACGGCCGCCATATGTAAAAATGTATAATATCATCAATAACAATTGAGCCAGTGCTCTTACAAGAGCAATCGATAGCAGCAAGTGCCGTCAGCTCCACATGGACCAGACAATCGTCAAACGAGTTCCACCACCTTGCGGACAAGGTACCGTTGATTTCCTTAGACGCCCACACCAGAACCCTAGTGTCGGCGTCGAAGTGGAGGCCCGTATTGAGTGTCATGACGGAGAGCGGCCTCGGTGCCTTTATCGGCAGCTCAGCCGCTAGAGTGCGGAAGCAGGCCATATCGAGTCAACTTGCATGGTGACGGCTTGGTGTTCGCGTCGACGCTAAATATACCCCGGTTCGATGCGCATTAGCGGTGTATCTCGCATACGAGTAACCCGGGGTTCGGTGCTGTCATGGGGGATCTCCAAACACTCGTACTCCAGGGACCTGCCTTGCTTGGGCGAGATGGTCATGAATAGCATCAGATCAAAACACACCACCTCCTTTCTAGCTGTCTAGAACACTGATTGACACGGAGCGGTGAGTCCGAAGCATGATTCTGGACGCTCGACGCAGGCACGAGGTGCCTGTGCTATGCAGGTCATAGCCGTTTTGGCCCTCCTCTCCGCTGCACTACAGCACAGCAAGTGTCTCCACACCGTGGCTTGCAAAAGTGTGTGCGCTTGTAGAGTGCGAATCCGGGGAGCATCGAATCCTTCGTGACGTTAACGCGGAGAACGCGCCTCCGGTGCCTAATGTGCCTACCGACAAAAAACAACGTTTAGGTACGATTCATCGTCGTCACCGCCGAACCACGTTCTGGAAGGCGCAAACTGCCACTCACATGGGCGGAAAGGCGTTCGCGCCACAGGAGACAGCTGCTAGGGACCAGGTTGCTGGCAAAACTCTAAGTGGTGGAACCGAGATTCTCCGCTTGACAGCATCGCGGCATCTACTGCAGGGTCCATTAACGAACGAGAATGATGATATTGTTGGAACGTCAGCAAAGCTCATTTCCTGTCACAAGTCATTTCGTGTGTAGAAGGTGTGCTGGCCCAGCTAGTAGCTTAGTTGCGATAGGTTGCAAATGTGGGTCTGATGGTGCCGGTGGTAATGCACGGTGAAGATTCGGACAGCATGCTAGATGATGGATAGGAAGCCACCCCGCGAAAAGCTCCAAGCGAAGGCGGGGAGGACCCGTTGGTCCTTTCCTGTCAATGCAGGGCTGCCAGGGCTGAGCGGCAAATGAAGTGGGAAATGAGCTTGTGATGAGATTTGGCAGGCTCGCATGATGACCAGCGCCAGCCACGCAATGGAAGCTGTCTGTCTGCCAACTACTCACTTAAGTAGCTAGTCGCTGCTTCACGTTGATTAAATTGTAACCCTTGTCGTTGTAAATTACGACGTTGAGGTGTGATGGATGAGGTGTACGTAGTTACACGTCCGAACATATATCGCACCCGACACCCAGGAACGCCGATGACTAGAACAACTCTAGAAAGCGATGGCCTGACCTATACCACACGTTAATATGAAGCGTATCGTCCACTTACCAGGGTCGCAAAATCGATATGAAGATCGACTATGATCATCCCTCTCCATGCCACACTTCGGGTAAAATCACGCTACGAACGTCAACCCTCTGTGTCTTGATCACGTACGAACAAGATTCAGATACGCGCACATGTACTGTACACGTAGCAATCGGCCTTTTACACACATCACGAGACGAGAAGCTACTCGAGTCAATCCTCACCGTGCATGCTTACCGTGCAATGGGCGTTTGGCCAATTTGCCCGTTGCAAAAGCCACCGGCTACAATGTGCCATCGACGTGCAGTAGAGCCTTTTCGCACGGTCGCTCGCTAAAACCCCGGATTCACGTATAGCGTATCGCGTTTGCATTAGTTTCGGTTTGACTATAGGACCCTTTGGCAGTTGGTGACGGGTAGGACCTGTGATGGCGGGGGAACAAGCTCTCTCCAAGGTCTTGGGGCTGCAGGGACTTATGTCAGAGGGGTCAGAAGGTCTGGTGCATGTTGGTATTGATCTCCGAGGAGGTGTGGGTGCCGTTTTTGATTCGTCATGGTGTACGGTATCGGTGTGGCACAGTGGTGAGATACAAGATTCTCATGCGAAGCAGGTTCGAGGGACAATGCGTTGGAAGTGCGAGTGTGTAATTAGCTAGATGATTCCTTTGACTGCTCTGATCTTTGCCAGTATAGGCTATCCCCTCTAATCTATACAGTATCATGCGTCGGACGACTATGCAAGATACCAACCGGTCTAAGTCATGGTGACGAGTTCTTCGGCCGACACGGGGTGGATAGCCTGCGGGAGAAGCACATGTTAGCATCCATATCCTCAAACGCCGATCGCAAAATGCCGTTCCTTTCCCCCGCAAACGTGGCAGCTGCAGCAGTCGACAGCCGATGCATTGCCGCGTATGCATGCACGGATGCACGACGAAACGGGGAAGGAAGCTTGGGTGATTACTTACCACACAGTTATCAAAGTCCTTCTTAGTGGCACCCATCTTGATCGCTACACCGAAGCCTTGCAGGATCTCACTGCTTCCCTGTCCTAGGATATGCAGACCGACGACCTTCTCGTTCTCGCCCGCGCAGATGATCTTGTAAGCTGTGGGCTGCTTGTCATCGGGGTCCATCATAGCGAAGTACATGGCCTTGAATTCGGTCTTGTAGATTTTGATCTTGTCGCCGTACTTCTCGCGGGCCTCGGGCTCAGTCAGGCCGATAGAGCCGATCTCTGGGTGAGCAAAGACGACAGAGGGGATGTTCTCGTATTCGAGGTGTGCCTTGGGCTGATTGTTGAATAGGCGGTCGGAGAGGCGTCTTCCAGCGGCGATGGCGACGGGGGTGAGTTCGAAACCGCGATCACATACGTCACCGATGGCGTAGATGTTGGGAAGAGAGGTGTTTTGGTACTCGTCGGTCACGATGTGGTTCTTGTCGTTGAGCTTGATGCCGAAGTCTTTGATCTTGAGATCTTCAATTTCGGGGTCACGCCCAGTTGCGAAGAGGACTTCTTCAACTTCAACGGTCGACTCGTTCTTTGTCTCGTTGTTCTGGTAGGTGACGCGCTTCATGCCGTTGCCAATATCCTCAACCTTTGTAATTTGTGTACCCTTGTAGAGATTGATGCCCTGACGCTCGTACTCTTGAGTTACGGTATCTTGGATCATGGGGTCGAAGGTTCGGAGGAGTTTGTCGCCGCGAATGAAGAAGTGTGTTTTCGAGCCGAGTGCGTGAAGCATGCCAGTCATCTCGACACCGATGTATCCAGCGCCACTCGTTGCGATGCTCTTGGGCTGCTTCTCGAGATCGAAGAAGCCGTCACTGCTAATGCAGAGTTCCTTGCCAGGAATATCGGGTAGCTTCGGTCGTCCACCGGTCGCGATGAGGATATGCTTGGCCTTGATGCGCTGGGAGCCTCCATCATGAAGCGCAACCTCGACTTCGTCCTTGGCCACAAACTTGGCGCGCCCTCTGAAATGCTCAATCTCGTCCTTGTTCAGGTTGTTCTCGTAGATGCCGTTCAGTCGCTTGACGTAGTCGTCTCGCTTCTTCTTGAAGTATGGCCAGTCGAACTCTGGTACCCCGCCAACCTTGAAACCGTATGCGGGCGCATCCTTGAAGGTCTCGGCAATCGCTGCTGCGTTCCAAGTAACCTTCTTCGGCACACAACCGACATTCACGCAAGTACCTCCGTATCGTGAAGATTCGATCGCGATGACTTTTGCGCCGTGTTTGGCGGCTCGTCGTCCAGAGGCAATACCCCCGCTGCCAATTCCGATTACTAGGTAATCGCACTCCTTGGGTTGCGACGACATGGTGATGCTTGAGGTCGAGAAGTGAGACGAGAGGTTTGATAAGCGTGCGGATGCCACTGCGGTTTGTGAAGGGCGGAAGTGCGTTCGGAGGAGAGAAGTTTGTCCTGGAGATGGA